AGTATGAGTTTTGTGTCACATGCCCAGATGGTTTTGAAAGACGCTTATTGAAAATAAAGAATGTATTACCTGAGGACTAAACATAAGTTGTATGACTGCCAACCCTCGTTAGGTGCATGTGAGCATAGGATTGGAATCACCTACAGATTCATCCTTTTGTGTACAGTACATATCCTGCCTGAAGAGGTGCCATGCAGACTGTTCTTTGTGGTTATGCCTGCATTGCGTTCTGTAGCTGTGTTGCCATTTCCAGGGAAAGTGTCCTGTGCAGAGGTAGGGGGCTCAGAAGTGGGACAACCTGAGAGTGGGCATTTGAATTCCCTCTTCTGCAAAATTACTCTTGAGGAAACTCTAGCAACTGACTGCTCTGTTAATCATCTGGCACCTCTAAATTGTCACACGTGTGGGAACAGGGGTACGCGCTCCTTCTCTGTTTCATTGCAAAGTCAAACAAGTTAGTGTGATCTGACAAGAAGTGAATCTGTCAACTCCCAGCTGACAGCTTTGCTTGACTAACCCTGAGGCAAGTGTGAGCGCTGGGAAAGTAGGACAGATGTCACCTGATGTGGCACCTGTGATGCTGAAGTGGTTTGGCCAACTTGCCAATTCTGTGGCCAGGTGTATAGCTTAGAGTGGGGAAAAATATGTCAACCTGACCTGTGCTTTAGGTGGAACTCAGAATAAACACCACGGCTAACCCCAACCAATGTCTCATTCTGCTTGATGATGTTCTTCCCCGGCAAATTTCCCCCCCAGTTTCACTTGTGTGGAGTACATGTTCGTGTCCTATGATTTGTGTGTGTCCTCAAGCAGTTGCTGTGCTCTCTTTCAGAGATACCTGCCCAGTAGTTGTGGGTGAAGACTTCTGCTTGCAGAGGCAGTAGAATACTCCATGATCTTTGAACCAAAGGTATTGTTTAAATAATTGGTGTTGTTTAATTGTTATTAAAAGAGCAGTTTCTTGATATTGGAGCAAAGTGATCTTAGAAGCATAAAGTCAGTTGTCCTGAAGATCTTATATATAAAAGGATGTTACTGAAAGAGGGGATGGTAAGAAGGAATATAAAATGCATTCAGAAATCAAAAATGAGGGAGTCAGAGGGGTTTTTCTAATGTAATAACAACATAATTAAACAAGGCCAGAATTTCTAAATATAACTAGGAGTAAACAATTGTTCTAAAAGAATGAGCAACAGAAAAAGTTTAGCAATTGATTGAAACAGTACCACTTTCTAACTGGAGAAGCACATAGGAAACACAGGTTGCCTGGGTAATGCTATGTTTTTTAAATGTGTCCCTTATTGGATATTTATGTGTTCGTATGGCTTAATATTTGGGTGGAGGGCATCCTGGAATTCTCTGACCTTGCCATGTTAAGGGAGTTTTCTTAAGGTGTGATTTCCTTTGATAAGACTTGTTCAAATCAACCTGTGTTTACAACATGGGAAAAGGCTGGTAAATACATTTTTTACCATACTTTCATTTAGGACTCTCTAGGATTGCTTTCAGGTCAGCAGTGGAAAGCCTTAGTCATAGATGTCCTGTCTCCAGAAGGCTCACAGCACTGCTCACATTGCTACTCAGGGTTGCACGGGGTGGAAATTTTAGAAAAATTCCCAACATTAGAAAACTCAAAAGAGTAGGTTACTAGTTCAGTGGCCAGTTCTGTTTTGAGTTCATCATGAAACGTGGGGGAGGGGAGTCTTCCCATAGAAGATACTTACCTGATATAAGAAAATAAACTAACTACATGTAAGAACATGTAATAAAGGAACATTTTGAAAGGAACTAAAGGGCACTGAAGGAATGAGAGTCAAAGAGCACAGATTTGACAGTGTCTTTCAAAAGATAATGACTACACCCAAAAAGTAAACAGGAAAAAAGAGACAGCAAATGAAAAACCAGGCAAGCATACCAGACACTAAGCTCTTGTTAACTCCAAGACCTTTGTGTTTCATTGTGTATATTGGGTTTTCACATGCTGGATTCACATGCTGGACTGTGAGGAATGAGAGACAGAAATCACAAGCCAATCTCAAAATAAGTCACACAGGGATTTTTAGCAATTGATCTCAAAAGTAAATGGAGTGAAACTGCCTCTTTTTCTTGAACATTGATCCCAGAGTTCTTGAGGGAAGGAATCTCCCTGTACTCAGCCAAGTGGCAACTGCCTCATGACTTATCTCAGACTGGTTTGGGCCAAACCAAAGCAGTCATGAACAGGGCCAGTAAAGTGCATGCACTCGTATGGTTTCTTCTCCTTTTAGTGATTGGACTGTAGAGATAGTAAATAAAGGCTTGAGTGTGACTACTGACTGCACGCTTACTTAGTTTCAATTAATATACTTCTCCATTTTTCAGCTCTGACATCCATACATGATTTGTAACAGTGAGTCACGGGGACATCTCCAGGAGTAGCTGACAAAGCCTCAAAAGGCAAGAAAGCCATGCCACAGAGTGCAAGCCTTATTTAGCAAGGGAAAATAGTTACCTCCCTATGAACTAACATCACATTAATTCTGGATGTCAGAGATAATTTTCAAACCTTGGGTCTTCAAACCACTCCCATCTCATCAGTTATTACCAGCATTGTGAAAAAGTGACACTTCCATAGCTGGATGCAGGCAGCATATGAACAGAAAAACTGCAGATGCATACATAGACCCACAATTCTCTGAAGCAGGGCAGAGTTCTGCACTAGGCCACGTCCATGGAGAGGGCAGTTTGGTCTACACCATTTGCCAACAGCAGGCCATATCCTCAAACAAAAGGCTATTTTTCCCCTCATATCTAGTCCCCTTCATCTCCTAAACAATTCTGGGACACAACAAGATTTCCAGTGGCCTGCAGATATAGAAGAGAATTGAGCACAGAATTTGTATTGAGTATGCCAAAGAAATGGTGTAGGTAGCCAACACAGAGACTGTAATTCTTTCTCCCCTCAGTCTTCTAGACACTGGCTCCAAAGATTTGCATTTGCTGGTTAAAAGCATCTTGTAAAAAGATGAAGAGAAGCTGCTAGCAGCACTGAAGTTTTAGTGGCCCAATTCATGATTCAGCAATTCTCTACAAAGCAACTCGTGTAAGAAAAGCAGCTTGTCACACTCAGTGACTTCCTTCTGCAGGGAATGTGCGTGTACACCTCTGCAGACTCACACAATCCTTCTTCATGCAGCCATCGCCAGCAACACGTCTTCTCCTAGAAGACAGCAGCCAGGAAACCATGCAGGGTCTTGCAGACTTCTGTCCTCACAGCCCAAGTCCAATCCATAAAGAAAGGCAAGCAGTGTTAGCTGGCATTTTTCCCACTCTTATTTTCAGTTCTGGTTTTGGTCTTTGCTGCTGTGAGACAGTCATTGCAAAACATGCTCACTATGGCACTACATTCTCTCTTACTTCAGTTATGTTTTCAGTTGCTAAATTGTTCTAATTTCTCCTCTTGCACACCTCCACTGGATCAAAAAACTAGGGCTATCCTTTTTTTCTTTCTTTACTTGACTGGAAGCAAAAATTCTTATTGACAGGAGGGACATGTGACTGCTAAGAAGGAGTTTCTGTAGTTTTCAGTGGCTTGGCATATGCAATTTTATTTAGGCAATCAGTTGTGTGATTTCATTCAGTGAGGCCCAGCCTAGAAGAAAAAATGACTTAAAGTTCACCATGTAGCAGAGCAGCTTGAGCAGAGAAAGAATGATCTCTGTCTACAACAATGGATTCTGCACGAGCCCTCCCTTCTCTTCTGCTATGGCAAGTGGATCACAAAGAAAATTATATTCTCTGAGACATTTGGGCTTCTTTTTTCCTTTCCTAAGTAAAGGCAGGATGAATTTGGTCTGGAAAAAATATAATTCACGGTTCTGTACACTGCAGTACACACACAAAAACATGTCAGCAGACTGAAGGGACTTCTGTATTAAAGAGAAGAGATGCTTACTCCCAGATAATTCGGGTAAATGTAAAGACCCAAATGTACCAGCTTAAAATAAAACATGACAAAAAATTGGGAAACCGGCAGGAAGCTGTACTACCAGTGAGGACAGTAGACAGCAATCTCATTGGTTTTAAGTAGCGTGAGAGCTGAAGAGTTTTTACATCTCCTCCAGCAAAAGGAGTTTCTTTGGAGCTGTTTAAAGGAGGAGCGTGAAGGACCTTGGTAGGCATGAGGCTTCTCCCCAATATATGGAAATGGCATAGGCAATACGCAAAGGTGCTGCTGAAACGCAAACCAGCAGGCACAGGCCAGTCAGATGCAGTTTCTGTTTTCTCACCGACGCATGGGAATGCCATTTGGCTGTTTACCAGGATTACAGGTTCTTATACCACATGAACCTCAGCAGCCATAGAAGTGTTTTGTTTATGAGATACATCACAATGTTTTTAGTCCCTTTCTCTAAACAGATACCAGTTTTTCTTGACCATAAATTATGTGCTGTTTAGCTTCACTCTTCAAACTGTATAGGATTTCTCTCAGTTATATTTTATTGTCATGAAGAATAGGTTCCCGTTACAAAACTTAAGGTCACACACTTCATTGCTTCTGGTAGCTGACATCATTGTGCGTCTCTCCCCCGCCTCCTCCTCCTCTCCTCCTTCCGTGTCACCTTCTCCTCCCCCTCTACTTTCAATTCCCTCATCTTCTTCCCCACACTGCCAGGCCAAGCATGCTCCCCATTCCTCTTTCCTCTGCACCAGGCGTTTTGTGTACTTATCCTGTCCTGGAGGCTCTGTGTTCCTCCCATGGCATACCCTGTCTGCAGTAATCTTGCACCACATCACCTCCTCTGTAAACCAGAAGCTTGTCATGGCATGTTTCTTGTTACTAAAATCTGTGCAGCACACAGAAGTCCTTGCACCAGTCCATGGGAAAAGGTGAGATTAACTTTCTCAATAGCCTCTCTCTTGCTAAAATATCTTTCTTTACCACTTCTTTGAGAGTACTGGAAAAGATACTTGTGTATTTTCAGCCTCTAACATATTTAATTCTTCCTTCTTACAGAGTCATGGAAGTCTGTATATTCTTCCTTTATACTATGATACTTCTCCCAGGTAAAAGGCACATTTTTAATTGTAAAGCCTATTTTAATTATTTGTGCTAGGTGATACTTTCTCATTCACTAAGAAGCTCATTCTTTAGTAGTAATTAATAATTTGTGTTGCACAATCAAGGCCATATAGCCTATGTGACATGTATTTAAATTGTGTGCAGGAACTCTATAACATACATAGTAAGTATTTTCTCTCTTCAACTTTATATTTTTACATTACACTTATGTTGCTCTTAAATTTTCAGTTTAAGGCTAAGTTTAAACTATGTGTATATCACTTCTGTATATCATAAAGCAGAACAGTATTAAACTGAAAACTGACAGTTTGATATGGGACAACTGGAGTTTTAGGCAGCCATGGAGATCATTTTGCAGTCTGGTGCCCTGGAGGAGCAGTCAAAACTTTGCACTAGGAGAGAGACTGTAAATCTCCTCCTTTTGAACACAGCAGAGATGTTTGTAACTTCTGAGACAGAGGACGGCATTTTTCATTCCAAGAAAAGATGGTCCTCTCAGCCTATCGTCGCTTGCAATAATGACTACGTGCACTGATGAGAACAAGGGAAAAATCATCCCTTGTGTAATGTGCTGCATGCTTTCTTTGTATGAAGAATTGTGTTTACTGAATTGTATTTATTGACTATTTCTATTAATGAGATCAGCAACAGAACAATAAAATTTGACATTTAATCTGTCATTAAACTCTAGATTAATTACAGAACAGTAAAGTCTGATGTTTGATTTCTCATTAAACTTTAGATTAATTCTTCAGTGAGACTGAAAGCGTTCACCTGTTTCTGACCTTCTGGTCATAACAACATTTAGACACCATCATCTACCACATAGTGTGCACTTTACATTTTCTTCACTGCAATGCTGTGCTATGCTATTAAGAGAACGAACTCAAGATTTTAAAAAGAATTGTGCAACACCTTCCTTTGTAGCAGAATCTTACTGTGCTCAGGATGCTAAATATAAGAAGGGTTTGAACCTTTTGCCTGCATATAAGTCTTCTAAAGCATAGATGCTTACAACCTCTGTGTGGTAGGCCTTCCTTAGAAACTAAAATATAGGAAGAAAAGCAAGAAACAGTTTTATGACGTGAACTCCACAAGACCAAGTGAGTCAGTGTGAAGAACTATGTGTCCTGTCATACCTAGTGGGAGAATTTGTGTCTAAATACTGGTGGTTTTACTGCTACTGTCATTAAATGTTGCCTCTGTGAGTACAAATACTTGGTGTTCTTTTGTAGCTGATGGAAATCTTAATTTCTTCTCTCTCTTTGTCTAAGGTATCGCTGTCAGTGTGCATCAGGTGAAGTCATTTCTCAATCACACTGCATACCTATCCTGCTATTTTCCAAACTCTCAGAAAACTGACATAACGGATTTAAGAGTTTTTTGGCAAAAAGGCCAAACCGCTGTTGAAGTGGTGCACGAAGTAAACTACGGCCAAGAAAAACACGATAACCTTAGTCCTAAATATATAAATCGCACCAAGATGGATATGGACAAATGGACTTTGCAATTGTTAAATGCAGGAATTGGGGACGAGGGACAGTATACATGTATTGTACAGCACAGAGATAAAGGATCACCAAAGGTCATACACACATCTGAGTGCTTACTGCACATCATTGGTAAGTAATCTCTTCTAACTGTCATCTGGTCTGGGGTTTTTTGGTGGCGTTCTCTGTCACTTTGTTCACCCCAGAAATGCATGGTACTGTCCTCAAGCCACTGAAGATGTTCCTGCACTGGAGCAGAATTTCTAAATAAGGATAAGAGCATTCTCAATAGAAAATTCTCAGCTCTGAATGAGAAGTACTCAGGTAGAACCAGTCAGATGTAGGAAATGGGGCAGTAATTTGCTCAATATTTCAGCATTCCTGACTCCCACCCTGTTATACTTTATAGTGAAAACCATTCTGCCTTCTTCCTCTTGCCTCCTGCAAGTTTTATGATTTTTAGGATTCTGGAAAATACACTTCTTTATTTGCATCTGATGCACTGCCTTCAATTAAAAGCAATACTAGTTAACATCATTGGTGGTAAATTACAGTTGAATCATAGCAAGATTTCTGCATTCATCAGGCTATTTTATGATGATACAAATTGCACGGAAAATAAAGAAAAGAGCAGCTCATATGTGGAGGAGTAGAAATTCATATGCTCAGTTAAAGTAAGACTGAAAATATCTCAATAAAAAAATGTAGGCATTGATGAGATTCAACCTGATTTCTTGAATGTTATCAGAGGAAAATACAGAAAATCTTTTAACAGGGGAATGGGGTTCAGTGAGGAAACAATCTTTTCCTAATATTTTGTAATATTTTTAGTAATTCCTAGTACATTTTTCTAATGTTTTTCTATTTTAAATTGTTCTGCTAGTAACCTTTGTGAATATGCCTGTCTTCTTTCTTCTGCTATGATAATGATAGTCATTATCAATAACAGCTTTGATCTTCCAGTGGTGTTTTCAGGCTTCAAAACTGCTTCAGAAGAGAACAGACCATGTGTAACAGCAGCTGAAAACAGAGTACCAGGACATCTGAGCCTGTTTAGCTTTGTGCTCCCAGCAAGTGTTCCCTCAATTCACACATCGAAAATCTAGATTGTTAATTTTGATGCTCCCAGAATCTACTTAACAAGTATTTTCAGCAAAGTTTCCAAACTCAGAAATTCATCATGTGCAATCAGTATCAAGGCCTCCAATTTAAGAGATGCTTAGCATCAACTGTTCAGTTAACTCAAGCAGTTAAGTCAGTTATCAGCTTAGCCAATATCTGAGCAACATGTTATAAAAGTCCCATACTTAGGCACTAAAAGTTTCCCACATATTTTGAGGTTTAACTTAGGAAGATTGTTTTAAATTATTTCTTGTCGTGTTCCTTCCAAATGACTCTCCATTCAATAAGCTTCCAGAGGAAGGAGCAATATAAAATCATAATAAAAAACCCCAAACTTAAAAATAATAAGAACATTACAAATGTTGAAATCTACTTGTGTTCACCTCCTGTTCCTTAATTAGAAACTTATATCATATATGGAAGGTTTTTTGTAGTATGGCATGTCACACAAAATGGTCATAAGAAAGACTGAATGCTGTACAAGAATGATAAGGCAGTCATACAAAGCTGTCCAGATCACTTGGCGACCAAGTCCATTCAGAAATACTGAAGTACCTTCTAATACAGTTTACATGTGTTATAATGTATTACATTAAGAAAATATGTAGCTAGATATATGTATATTATATGAATTATGTGCAGCCAGGACAATTTATATAAGAACAATGAACATAGATCATTCTCCAGAAAGAAGGGAAGGGTTCACAATGGAAAGCTCTGGCTTTTAAAACAGGCAAGGTGGGGACTACGGTGACAAGCAGATTAACTGGAAATTCTGCTGCTATAGCATGGATCTTGTTTTGATGGATCAGTAAGGGAAGTAGGTGAGACTAGGGAATCAGTTTCAAAATGTGCTATTCAAAGAGTTGGGAGTGAAACTGGTGCCAGAAAAGAAACTTTAAAGTTTGTGCTCTCATTTTAAAGAGGATGTAGAAAAACATAAAAGTGTGAAAGAAAGCTCTACTATCTGATGGCTGGAAAAAATACAGTCCAACTGGAGACATTAAGAGATTGATCTGACTACCTGATAATGCAGAAGACTGAGAAGAGTGTTGTTTTCAGAGTATGGGAATCTGAAATACACATAAAATACTGGATATTTTTAAAAAGCTAATTAATTCAGTGAATATATAGAAACCGTCAGTGGCTGGAAACAAGTGAGGAGTAAGGCACATTGTCACTTTAGAAAACAGAACAAAACCAGATAGGGTGATTAAGCCATTGAGAAAAATATTAAGGGATGGATGGGTCTGCTGTCTCCTGAGGTATTTAAATCTAAGCCCATAGGCTTTGTGCAAGGAATTTTATCTTTAAATACAGAAGAGTTCCTGAAATATGAAAATTTGAAAAATACGAAAAACTTCTGTTAACAATCCAAAGCTCACATGTACGTAGCCCGCACCCTGCAAGTAACCAACATCACTTTTCACTTAATTGAGGTTCCAGAAGCCATAAAAACAGAAGTGCTTTAATCAGAGTATATTGCGGTATTTCCACTTGTTTGCTATCAGTAAGATCAAAACTCTTAAATCACTTGGATGATTTGACAAGCTTCAAAGCCATGGATTATGTTTCTGCCCTCCCTATAAAATGTCAAGGAGAGAATAAATAGTCCAGGCCAGAAGCTAGAGTGAGCAGTCAGCTAAGCAAGTCAGATGTTAAAGAGAAAGAGGAAGATTGAGCTCTCCTGAGGGACAACTTACCTAAATTTTGCGATGTGAAAAAGGTGGGGCTTTTTCCACTTCGAATTCCCAGCCATGGACTCCCTTGGGAATTAAAGTGACCAAGATAAATCTTTCTCTCTGCACGTTGGCATACAGCAAATAAAAGCAACATTATATTTCTTCAACCATCTCTATTCAGAGTTCATTGAGGCAAGGATGAGAGCCTGGGTCAAACACACTGAGTGTGTGTGCAGAAGAGTCAGACCCTCCTAGGCTTATATTTTTCTAAGAATCCTTTCTCCTTTTCCAATATATCTCCATATTGTCTTTAGTCCTATTGGCACTACAATAATGAGGCATTTTCAATGAAGCCCTGAGTCTGTTTCTTGGAGGTGTTTTTGTTGCGTTTCATGTTTTTTAAAAAAACCAACACTGCTAAACTTGCTGTATGCCAATGTGCAGTCAGTATTATGCCTACATTCTCTCCTTCTCCTTTTCCATTGTAGTCTACTGTTTCTATTACAAACTTCAAACAAATTTTGGTTGCGAATATCTGGGAGATTATTTAATATAGAGCATGGTTAAAATTTTCCATTCATCATTAATGTTTTATGTTTAAATAATTCTTTCCAAACTTGTTTCACTAATTTTTTCTTGCCTGGGAAACTTGACTTTTTAAAGCAACGGGTATGTTTTTCATTCACTGAGATGGGTACCCAATGATACAAAGTAAAAGAATGTGTACTGTAGTCACTTCCACATAAAATGCTGAGCTAAGGGAGGCCTACTCTCAAGCTGAGTGAATTACTTTATATGCTGCAAAATGATTATGCATAATACTGACAGACACCAAGGGTATTTCTAGCTATGACAGCACTGGACCTCCAATCTACCCCATCTGAAGTCCCTCAGATAATTTCTTTATGTTTCACAGTCAGAAGTTTGTGGTTTTCCCCTTACCTAACCAGAAGGTTGAGAGTAGGCAGCGCTGTGTCTTATTCCCATTTGTGCTTACATGCTGACCTGCAAGCAGGCCAGGTTTGATTAATCTGAGGTGTCAATGGATCTAAAGGAGGTGAGAGAGTCAGAAGCCTTTGAGACTTACGTCCTTGAAACACTCGGAGAGCAAGGACAAGCAAGTCTACATATACACCAAAAACGTAGCCAACCTTTCTTCGGACTCTCATTGTTTTCCTGGGAAAATGGTTTAAACCTTCTTCTGCCTTAAAGTCTTAAGCAACTGGCAGAAACTGTCACAAGATGTGGTATGTCTGACTCATGATGCTTTTTCTTTGGTCTATTTCAGCCAACTATAGTCAACCTGAAATAGCATGGCTGCACACGGGGAAACTAAAGCCCAACGAATATTTGAATCTTTCCTGTTCTTCCAGCGGAGGCTATCCAGAGCCCAAGCAGATGACTTGGCTAATGTCATATGAAAACCATACACACCCATTTACACGTCCCATGGGTGTCTTACAGGATGCTGTAACAAAGCTGTACAACGTTACTAGCAAGCTGAATGTCCTAGTTCCTCCAAACACCCCTGCTAATATTAGCTGCTTGCTTCACCTTGGAGAGCAGCTGGGGAGCCTTGTCTCGGTGCCGTTAGGAATAGGTGAGTCTCTATTTGCCCATTCTGATTTTTGCATGTGTAGGAGCAGGGCACATTGCAGTAGAGCTGGTCACAGATAGCAGTGTAGTCAGGGCAGGGAATAAACCCTAAGAAGCAGTAGTAGTTGGTTACAAGGGCTGTATGTTCTCCATCCTGTTCACCAACAGCCATGGCCACCAAATTCCCTCTCCTTTCTATATGGGAAGTCTTATCACAGCAAGGAGAGGGCACAGAGAAGGAAGGCTACAGCTAGACAATCCAGACAGAACACAGCCCTGTTCGTCCCCTCCCGAAATGCTGCTGCAGTAGAAACAAAGCAACCTAGATGTCTGGATTAGCGGCACCCAGTCTCTGGAAGTGACATTCAGCTGTTAAGAGAGGTTGCCATTTCATAGAGTCAGAGAAACTTCGACTAGTCTTAGACACATTCCTGGTGGTTTCCGTAACATTTGACAGAATGAAGCGGACATTCCAAAATCACTACCTGGAAAATTTTTTTTTCTCTGGGATTGTGTCTTTTTTTCAGACACTTTTTACAAGAAACAGCTGGGGACCTGAGTTCCAATAAGGCTTTACTGCTGGATTATCTCAGGGTTCCACATAACTGATCCCTTCTTTAAACTAGAAATGTATTTTATTTATCTTTGAACATGCTTTGACATATTTTTGTCCATAAACTATGGCACAAGTGCATCAAAATAAAGACAATTCCCACATGGCTCACACGTCTCCTTTAGACAGTGTTGAAGATGGAGAACTGTGCTTCAACTGACAGGAACAGGGAGCCAAGAAGGAACAGAAGCATTGCAGGAAAGCCTAATAGGGTAGCATAGGCACTACCTACCGTACTACTGCAGATGTAAAAAAGCTTGTCTTTCCTTCTGAAAAAAGTTCCAAAGTGCAGTTTTCTTCACATATATTTAGCTAAAGGATTACATCATCAATACCAGATATGGCAAATTGCCTCTGATGTCCTTACATTCTAGGATTTTTAAATAATATTAAAATACAATACAGGAGTATTCTGAGGTTTGCACAGCACTACATGTTGTTCAGGAGTGTTAACATGGTTATATTAGCTACAGTGCTGCATCTTCCTCTTTGCTATTCAATTCTTCTTCTCTCCTCCCTGGCTTTGTGAAAGTAGCCACCTGATAAGCAGTGATGGTAAGAAGGTAGGAGTTCCACATAAACAAAAGCTTTGTTTGGCTATAACTGAAGCTCTATCAGTTGCTAACCCTAGCAACCAAAACCTCAAAAACACAACAACCAGAAATAGAGGGGAAAATCCTTTGTGTTCCCTGTTACTTTCACATCATTTATGGCATTTCATTAGGCTTTGACCATCATTTCCAACAGATACCAAGTAGTAACATATCCCAGGTTCTTCTTTGTAGTTTCTCTAGTTATTGGAAGTGGAAATAAAGCAATGTGGGCAGTGATTTACTGGCACTATTAAAGCATTATAAAAGCAAAGGATGATGAGGGTCTTACCCTAAGCTTCTAATTTACATAACTTTGGGAAAGATTGTTTAAGCTAATTGTCATCAAATGAAATCTTGTTGTGTATATCTCCTCTGTTTTATTATTCAGAGATACAGCAGGAAGAAATGGAGCAAGTGAAGATAAATTTCTTTGGCCCACTTATAGCTGTGATTATACTGATCACACTTCTCCTGGGTTTTGTGGTATTGAAGAAGAACATAAATATCTCATCTACCAACCAGAGTAAGTTATTAATTCTCAGCTTCAGCTCGGCTGTCCCTCAAGTCACAGGCTTCGCTCTTTGTAATCATCCCTTTACCTACATTCAAGCTGCTGACAGAAAGTTAGGTTTCATGCTAGACTTAAGCTAAACTTCCTTGGACAATTTAGTTACTGCAACAACTTAGTCCATCTGGCAGTACGTCAAAACATCTTTTTCTTGTCTTGGCCTGGGATCCACTTCTGCCTCTTCTCTGTGCTCTGTGAAACTGCCATGGCACGAGCTTACCACGTTTTCCCTGCAGTTTGATCTTTTTTTTTTTTCTGGTTTATTGGTAGATTTGCCTCCTAAAACCATTGAACTGTGTTAACCTTTCTCAACCACCACCATTTATAAGAAAGGTGGAGCTGGGAGAGAAACAAGATGAGGCTTCCATGAAGTGCAAGTATCTCTGTCATCACAGAGCTGACAGGTCCAAGGCATTGCTCCACCACAGTCTGCTCAACACTGGACTGGAAGAATCATCTTGTACTAGGAACAGAATTCAATCTTTGCATTGCATTTCTCTTATCTTTTTTCCAACACTAGTTCTGAGCAGTTCACAGTTTATTCTGCACTGAAAGGATCCTCATGCTGACATCAGAGCCTGTGCTTCCCTGTAGCAAGGGAGAAATGCATTTCTCACTGTCAGACCTGTTTCCTTACACAGCCAAGGGTCCTTGTGCTGAGCCCAACCTCATTATTTATCCAAATCCTAAGATAACTGTACCTTTGCTATCAACTTTTTCAGCTCCTATTTCTTACATTTCTGTAAATCACATATTCATGTATTTTAGGTGTCAGTCTAGCAGTCTAGAAGCTATTCAGCTTGAAACCAAGGCCATCAGCCAGACTACTGACTGGGAACCATCTCTGTACATAGTAAGGCCTGAGGTCTCACGTTCTTAGATGCTCTGCCAGAACAAGAACCCTCCCCAGATACCCTACAGAACAAGATGCAACATTTTTGTCTTATGATTGAAATCCACTGTCCAGTGTTCTCTGCTTTTGTTTTTGTTCCAGAATGGTAGTAAATATGATGCTCTGCCTGTCTGCTTTACTATCTTTTTGCTACGTCTTTCACTGACGTACTGTGACGTTGTAAAAACCTGACAGTCAATGAAGAAAGCAGAACTGTGTGGGTTACAGAAGGGAATGTCTCAGAAAGAGTTAGACCACAATCTATGAATCATAATCATCACTGCAAACATGATCAGAGGCTATTAATCATGACCCATAAATGTTTTTTGCAGAGCCAGTGAGCTTTGTACCAGTAACTTTCTTGTAAAGCTCTACACCAGAAAGAGGAAATTGAGGGCACTTACCACCTTCTGAGAAAAGTCATATGATCCCTATGAGGCATTTGAAACTAGAAATCACCTGAAGCAAAGACTTGCTTTAAATGTAATTTCTGGTTATCTTAATTTTTTTTTTACTATGGGCTTAATATGCCCAGACAGTTAGTACCTCCAGATTCTGTTCTTCTGCATTCTCACCAGAGTCGCTCTCACTAGTTGCTCAGGTGGATGCAGGAATAGAAAATCAAAGCATGAGGTATCACTCAGATATGTATAAATTTAAATATTCAAAATTAAGCTAACCAGATGATATACATAGGTCATGTTCAAATTTGTTTAGCTGTGTACTTCCTTTCTTAATTTTGCCGCAAACCTTGAAGACAGAAAAATCCATATGCTAAGGTATGCTTAGCTATAGGAATGAGTTTCACCTTTCAGAAAAGATTCTCCATTTCACTCATAATGTGCCAGTTCTCCAATCTTGAATGATCTCGGCTCTTTTTACTCTTCAACAGCATTGACATCCTTCAGGAGGAAGAATGAAGCAGAACTGAGACAAAATTCTTTTGAGGTCTTGATTGTGTTTGTAGGTCTAACATTTTCAGCAAGAGCAGGGACATTAGCATCACATTCTCAAGACAAATTTCAGCTCAGAGTTGCAGTCTGGGGACATAAATCCTCTATGGCTTCTGCTGGGTATGAATATTCTTTTATATTAAATGATGTTATGAGTTGCTAGATTCCACCTCAAATATCACTTCATTTTCAAGTGTGTGAGAGAATGCACATGTTCTTTTGAGTTAGCTAAACCATTTGGGAGTCAGTTTATTAAGCTATTACATCAACATTACGAATATTTTCATTTGGATTAATATCATTGAAATTTTATTAGAAGTTAAAGGGTTTTTATTATGTAAAAGTTTACATTTGCCAGCAAACTTATTTAATGACTTATTAAAATATATGTCCTTTTCCGTGTTGGTGCTTTATTCTCCTGCCATTAAAGCAGTACATTGAGAAATATCCACATTTGGTGTTTTTAGGGAGCAAACATTCCCAGAATTATTTCTTGGAAGCAAATGAATGAAAACGGTATTACTGCAACGAGCAAGAGTCGCACAACTGAAGGTTTCATATGTTTGTTCATGGAACTGGATATACAGTTGCAAGAAAAAGTATGGGGACCTTTTGGAATTTCATGGTGTTCTGCATTAATTTGTCATAAAATGTGATCTAACCATTGTCTAAGTCAAGTATTGACAAATATAATGTGCCTAAAATAATAACACAAAAACAACTCTGACCCTCCTTTGTCTCTACTGAACCCATTCATTCAACTTTCAAAATGCCAGTGGAAAAAGTAAGTGAACCCTTGTGTTGATCTCAAAAAAGCTAATCGGAGTCAGGTTAATCTGCAGTCTTGTTAAGAAAATGAGTTTGGAAGTGTGGACTAGAGCTACATTGACTGATAAAAACAACTCAAACTTTTTGAGTTTGCTCTGCACGACTTGTATGCTTCTGGGAGCCATGCCTCACCAAAAAGAGTGTTCAGAGGATCTATGATCAAGAATTGCTGATTTATATAAAGCTGGAAAGGGTTACAAAGTGATTTCAAAGACCTTAGAAATTCACCAGTCTACAGTCAGGCAAATGATCTACAAATGGAAACACTTTGGGACTGTGGCTGCTCTACCAAGAAGTGGGCGCCCAGTCAAAATGACCCAAAGAGCCCAAAGACAACTCATCAATGAGGTAAAGAAACAACCCTGAGTGACAGCCAAAGAGTTGAAGGCATCATTACAACTGGCTAACATCTGTGTCCACGAGTCTACAGTACATAAAACATTGAACAAGCAGGGTGTCTATGGCAGAACACCATGAAGGAAGCTGCTGCTTGCTACAAAGGACATTGTTGCATGCCTGAAGTTTGTGAAAGAGCACATTGACACTCCCCGTGGTATTAACAAAATGTTCTGTGGACTGATGAAACAAAGATTGAAATATTTGGAAAGAATATGCAGCACTACATCTGGCGTAAAAAAGGCATTGCATATCATCATGAAAACATTATCCCAACCGTAAAGTATGGTGGAGGAAACAGCATGATTCGGGCCAGCTTTGCTGCATCAGGGCCTGGCCAGCTTGCAGTCACTGAGGGGAAGATGAATTCCCAAGTGTATAAAAAAATTCTTCAGGATAATGTGAGAGTGTCTGTACGTCAGCTGCAACTCTGTGGATGTTGGGTGATGCAAAAGGACAATGACCCAAATCACTGGAGCAAGTCCACAGCAGAACGGCTTCAGAAAAACAAAATCCGCCTTTGGAGTGGCCAAGTCATAGCCCAGACCTCAACCCAACAGAGATGCTATGGAATGACTTGAAGAGAGCCATACACATGCGACATCCAAAGAATATGACAGAGCTAAAGCAGTTCAGACAGGAAGAACGGGCTAAAATCCCTCCTGAACGCTGTGCAGCCCTGATCCACAGCTACAGGAAGCGCCTGGTTGAGGTTATTGCTGCCAAGGGGGAGGGTCAACCAGTTATTGTTCCCAAGGGTTCACTTACTTTTTCCACTAGCATTTTTCATGTTGAATCTATTCAATAAAGACACGGAGGATCAGAATAGTTTTGGTGAGCCAGCAGTGTGCCCAGATGGCCAAGAAGGCCAATGCCATCCTGGCCTGTATCAGGAATAGTGTTGCCAGCAAGCGCAGGGAGGTGATCACTCCCTTTTACTCAGCTTCGGTGAGGCCGCACCTCAAGTACTGTGTCCACTTTTGGGCCCCTCACAACAAGAGGGACATTGAGGTGCTGGAGAGGGTACAGAGGCGGGCTACCAAGCTGGTAAAGGATTTGAAGCATGTGTCCTATGAGGAGCAGCTGAGGGATCTGGGGCTGTTCAGCCTGGAGCAGAGAAGACTGAGGGGCGACCTCCTAGCTTTCTACAACTACCCAACAGGAGGTTGTAGCAGGCCGGGTGTTGGTCTGTTCTCCCTGGTGGCAAGTGATAGGATGATGGGAAACAGCCTTAAGTTGCACCAGAGGCAGTTCAGGTAGGATATTAGAAAGAATTTCTTTACTGAGAGGGCTGCCAGACATTGGCACAGCCTGCCCAGGGAGGTGTTTGAGTCACCATCCCTGGAGGTGTTTAAGAGACGGGTAGATATTGTGCTGAAGGACATGGTTTAGTGGTGTTTATAGGGCTAGTACCAAGGTTGAACTTGATGATCTTGAAGGTCTCTTCCAGATGAAACTGTTCTATGATTCTATGATTATTTTAGGCACATTATATTTGTTAATACTCTTGATGGTTGGATCATATTTTATGACAAATTAATGCAGAATACCATGACATTTCAAAAGGTTCACATACACTTTCTTGCAACTGTACGTGCACAACTCTGTGTATATACACCTCCTTGATTTATTGACCTACACACCTCAAAGACTAGATACAAAATTCCTGTCTGAAAACTTGGCCTTTTGATTTTATGCTGCAAGTTGTCAAACATATCTCCAGTGAGTCACACGATCTTCTCTATCTCTTGATTAATATTTGGTTCCTTAAATAAAGCATGTGTTAAGCCATTGGATATGCTAAATTAGGTAGATACTCACTCACTAGATTTGTGTTGTCTCTACTGTTTCTTTTTTAACATGTGCTCTAATTCAGTTCAATTTTTTCCAACATTTTTCCTTCCCACTCAAGTCATCCACCTCAAATCCTCACTACCATTGAGGTTGTCAGAACAACAGCTAAACCTTTCTTTGCTCCCACCCAAACAACAAGCTTTGGGGGTTTCTTGTCTTCCATATGATAAATCCATAGATTCAGGTGTGTACACATACACTCTTGAACTCAGAGTCTCCAAACTCTCTTACTAGTCCCTGAATCCCGATGTGCTCCTTATCTGGCCAGCTTTATGCAATGAGTTAAAAAACATTACCAAGCTTTCATGTCTGTCCATAAGAAAAACACAATAACCAGTTCCTCCACGATGGATAAGGCATCTGGAAATCTACACTAGGACTCAAGAGTCCTTCTCTAGCACATTCACTTAGCAGAAAAAAAGAGATTCTGAGCACTTGGAAATTCACCAGTTTTTGCAACATCTTAGTACCTCTAAGGCGGCTTTTGAGCCTGATACACTGCCTACTATCACTATCAGCTGCTGTAACTGGTGGGAAAAGTCACACAGTGGGTTAGGTTTATCTTTTGACAATTCCCTTCCTTCCTTAGTTTGTTCATAATTAGTCAAATTGTTTGTTTACCCCTCTTGCAATCCCTCTACTTTAAGCTGCCAACCTCCTTCTATTACCTGATCAACTTCTCTCCCCCCACTTTTGCTCTTAAAATCAACTCTAATGCCCTCCTACAGTTAAGGGGGAAAAAGCAGAAGGGCCTCGGGGAAAACTTTAGTTTGTCACTATCTGTTCAAATGCATTAATCCTCTGTGCTAGTAGATGTAATGAGCATAATAGCAAGGCACAAGAAAAATGTAGCTGATGTGCCAGC